AATCGGCGGATCGAGAGACAGGAGCGAGTTCCGCGCGATTTGTTTGTCCAAGATTGAATCGGTCGCCGGCCGATTCTTTCTGACGCTTCATACATCACGAATGACGGCCATTTAGCACCGCGATGCCCGGTTCCCAACCCCCCGCCGGGGAAGGTTGCTCGGAAACTTAGGTCATTTCGCGATGCCGGGATAAATGGCGCCTTCGGGGTTGATTTAATACGGGCCGGGCTATTATGCGCGCCGGCCAAGGAGGAAACGACGAGTAAATCTATCAGCGGGAATTATCCCTCGACTGAATTCGGAATCGATGTTATTTTCGCGCGATGAGTTACGCCGCGGCCGGCTGGATTGCGTCAGCACACGCAACGAGCTGTTTTAACCTCTCGCCCTGACATTTGTTTCTTAACACTGAGAACACTAGACGAGTCAGACTAGTGTTCAAATTTTCAATTGACTTTTGAAAATTTCGCTATAGAAACTCCTAGAGTGCATCTTTCATCAATTTCTCAGAGAAGCATTTGTCACCTTTCTAATAATTGCGAAGAGAAGACATCTCTGGTAGTTTCAGTGTTAAAGACAAGAGATGTTTCTCTGAGTTATTTAAAAAATTCAATTGATAAGCAAACTGGATTGGAAATCAATTGAAGTCCTAATAGATACACTCTTGTTACATTTCGGGAAGAAAGGGAACACTTAGATTAATTAAATTCAGTTTCAAATCTCCTCGCGAGATTGACACGATATTACAGGTCAAGAGTTCAACGACAGAGCCAAGAGTACCTCGGAAATATTAAGATAGAACTCGCAACATGTTGCTAAATTTCCATCACGACTCACCAACAGAATTTACATTTCACAGGCGACCGAGATAAGCGTCTCCAATCACGAGAATGGGGAATATCATACCGCCGAGGATAACTCAGATTTAACGAGAATTTAATGAAACCCCTGCACCAAAATGGGACACAAACGATTCACGCTAACTGTCCCCGAGAAGTTTTATTGTATCGTTAGAAAGTTTTATTCCTTCATCCTGTTTCATTAGTCGTAAACCTTGCCTCCCATGCTTTCGAATTACCCGTTGCACAGATTTTCATTCTACGCCGAGGAATTTTATGGGACCGTACGCCCGTCGATGGTGGAGTTATCATCGCGAATTGTAGCCACGTAATTTTCGATCGGAATATCGGCGATACCGCCGTGGCGTTTGCGGCCAGCTTCCTCAGGTAGCAAATGACGCGCTGATAATATCACTGTTATCAGTTATCGATCAACTGTTACCCGTTGCGGCCACGATGCCGATCGCATTGCTTGATCGATCCCTTACCAGCGGCACGCCGATGCGCGCTGATAAATTGATACCTGGGAACTAGTCGGCGATAAGTGGAATCAGACGTTAGATGCATGTCGCTCGTGTTGCTGTAACAACGATTAATAAGCAACACTAGGCTCACGGTATTATTTCATAATTAATGATATAATTACGTAGACGCCGATAATTTCACCGTTGATCGTTTGTCTTTGGATATCTGCTACGGAACCCGTTTGCAGCTTACTCGATAAATGGTTATTCTGACGATTTTCTATTTTTATGGCATATACTTTCTGTAAATGAGCTTTTTTGGCAACATTTTTATCGCGAATAACATTATTATTTATTCGAAATGATATTTATTCTAAGATCTCAGTCTTAGATACTTAAACATCTACGATTCAATGAAACATTTACTATACTGATGAAATGAAAGTTTCAACACTCAGAATCACTGAAGTTTCATATAGATTCCATAATCATTTATAACGTAAGCATTAACAAACTACATCTACAAACTGCAAAGAAGTACGATAACATACAAACACGTAAACGATTCAACCGACTCAATCGATGTATCAATGAACCGACAATGCTTCGCTCCACCGTGAACGCAACGAGACACGTGACGTTTGAAAAACTATAAGCTGTTCTCCCGTATCGCTCAATTCCCGCTGAAGTCGATTTAATCCCCATCGCATTCCAATTTCGCCGAATTACCCCGGGCAATTGATATTCCAATAAACATCCCCGGTGTAACAATAACCATCCAGCATTATTCCACCTTTCAGTTAACCGCGCAATTCCGTGCGGAATCGAATTCAGAGAAAAGTGATCGTGTAGCTAATGGCTTCCGGAACCCGCCCCCGGTGCATCCACCGCGATCGGCGGCTCGGTGTAAGCGTATCCAGATTAATATGCCGGTGAAAAATACCACGGTGGATGACACTAATTTGCGACCCCCATAAATCGACCGTCCCGATCTCCTCGCTCGGCCTCGATTCCGCCCCCGATATTTATGGGGCTCGATAAATAATAAGAAAGTATAATAAGCGGCACGTCGGCCGAGCCACCCTTCTTCGTTCGACTTCCGTCGACGATTGCCTCTCTCGATTCCGCGCCCTCGTCTCCGCCCTCGCCTGTATACGGGGTGTCGCGGAATAAAGGGGGAATATTTTATTCTTCGAGTTCCTTTAATCGTTTGCGCTCCATAGGCACCTCTCGGTTGTCAACTGATTTGAAATCTGTCAATTTAATCTGCTCGAATCACTATAGCTCGCTCGGTGATACGGCAATTTCGTGACATTCGGCTAGAACGTGCGATAATAATTTAATATGAACTTTCTCTTATTTTCTGAATTTTGCTTTAGAAAACCGTGCGCATTCAACGTGTTGATGTTATACTTTCTATCAATGAGATATTGTCTGTATGTCAGTAGAAAGTTTTGAGTGTTTCCAGAGAATAATATGGGTCCTATATTCTTAGGATTATAAATAAAGTAATTGCATTCTGTAAGTATGGAATCTTAATTGAACTCCACAAGAATGAAGTAATTAACGAGAAAAGAATTGCTTTTGTCGTTCAACACCGATTTAATGGTGAGCAAACTGTTAACGATAGAATATGTTTTGATAATAGGAAAGTTCAAATAGTGAATTATTCGTAAAGTATTAATACGTGAGCTTCGCTTTGTTTTAAATTGAATTGTTTACAAAATTACATGGTCTGATATATTATTCGACGAACGATTGCATTCGAAATATGATTTTTAAAACACAGGAACAGGTATACTGGTAGCGATGTTTCTTCCAAATAAGCAAACACCGTGACATTTTTGCAGATACAGAGATATAGATTTACAGATGCCATTCCTGAAGTATATTCTGCTTATTCCAGGACACCCTGTGTACATACACGGGCGGGACTGGCACGCAATAAATTCACGTCCCTTTTCGACGGGGGACATTCGACGATCCGACCCGTTTCCTGCGCCTTCATACATTTCAAACGTCGCGTCGCGAGCTGTAACGAGCGCGCAGAAAAAGGGACCGGGAATCAATTTTCCGACAGGTTCTTGGATTTCACGCGATAGAGTTCGATGTGTCCGTCGCGTTCGTTGAGAATGAATCTCATTTTTATCAAAGAATGAACAGGCCTCGCACGCTCATCGCATCTTCTCTTCTGAACTTTCAAATTTAATTAGTTTCAGAGAACATCGTCTGTATCTCATCGAAGAATATTGAATATTTCTAGTGAAAAGCTTTCGAGTGCAAAGGGTTAAAAAACATTTAACAACACAATATCAAATATCTTACAACATAACGTATAACCAAATAACAACAATCTCTTCCAGAAAAGATACGAATCTCCCAAACTATTTTCTTAATCCCAACTCAAATGAACGATTCCCCAATGTTCCATTGTTTCACAAACCATACACTCGTTTCAAATCAAGTACGAAAACTTAAGTATATTCCTCCAGATTCCAAATATCGAATTCCATGGCTGATTTCCTAACCCCATAGGCTTCTCTCGGTCCCAGAATAGGTCACCGCGGCTGCGATATTTTCCCGAGCGGAAGCTCCGATCGTCGATGCCCATCTTGCTCGGAGACACGCGCGGCAAACGTATTACGGAGTGAATAAAAATGTCGATGGAAATTCCTGCGCGTCGCCGGAACCCCCGGCTTTGTTCTTTATGAAAGCGACCGGCGAGATTGTTCCTGTGTGTACTCTTTCGAGGAGCTCGAATCGATCCGCGACGGATACTGTTCGAGACGGCGTGGAGTTTGCGACGTTCTTCGCCGGTTGTTTCTCGGCGAATCGCTGCGACCACGGTTGCGCGTGGATTTATGTGGCCTGGCCGTAGATCCTGAGATTAACCCCTCACCCTATGATTTATTTCATACATTTTTTCTCTTGACATATTTCAACATTAGTGGTTCACTCGAGAAAAAATCCTGGGTTTGTCCCGTGTACATTTGCTCCGATGATTAGCAATCGATTAGCAATTAACACTGGGAAATGGTTGATGTAGGTTAATGGTTAACCTTGACAATGGAAAAATAGTTTGGAAGATTCGTAGAAAAATAACGAGTAGTTTCTATTCTGAATTTCAGACGATTTCCAATTTCATAGCTGAAACGCTACGTGCTCAATATCAATAATACATCCCCTAATCCATTATTGCAAATGTTAATATCGGGGACGTCGTTACCACGACAAAATAACGCATTAATCTTGACGCTCGAATCATTATCGCCATTAGAGATCCATAATACCAATGAAATTCCATCATTACACGGATCGCCGCTAAAAGGCAGCATTCCATTTAAACCTCGATTCACACTGCATCGGAATAAGTAGAAAATCCCAGAATTGATCAGACGCGAAACCAGCAGTATATCTAATGAAAAACATCGATTTCCCAGTAAACAATCGACTCCATCCCTCTTCCTCATTACCCTTGACCCCGTCAAATATTTTTTAAAACGACACGAGCGAGCGTTGCGTCATTAACTATCAATTTTTCATTCCAAGCGTGTTGGAAGTCAGCGAACAGTTTCATTACTTAGCGCATCATCAATTTTGCAGAGCCGCGCCACGATGATCATCGTCGTGGCGATGGGACCTAACGAAAGTGCGTTCAGTGCGTCGTTAAACGCCGTCGGAATCGCCTCGATCCGAAATGACCGATCCCAAGACGTTCAGGGAAACTATCAGACCAACTCTGTACACGAACATGTTCCTGGGAATCGGTATCTTCGAGTTTTCTAACAAAACACGAGTGAAACCGTTCGCGGAGAAGATCTACGCGTGTTGCTGTCTAGTGATGATGGAACTGTGTTATTACATGACGGTCACCACCTCCATGTATTTTAAACTCCCGCTGCAGGCAGCAGGATCGAAAATGGTAATCCTGAGACCAATGATGTGGTACACTGTTATGTATCAATCCGCTTGTTTGATTGTAATCATGGCGAGACGAAAGCCAGAGGTATGTATTCGAAGGTTGCATCGTTATGTCTTTCATGCTACTTCACTGTCGTCACATTGAACGTTGCATTTTCAACTGTAATTTGCCTTGGGGATTTCTTTAACGAATAAGTAAACGTTGGTGGTGCTATTAACCCTTTCAACAATTTTTTCTATATTTATTTGTAGTATCACAATTGTACCATTTAAAGGTAACATTTCAATGACTCCCAAATATTCTTGAATAAATAAATAGAGCGTCATATTAAGCTGTAATTGAATGAACTAACGTCGACGTGAACCTCAAACTGAGAAACCATGAGCACTTCGGACCGCAAAGGGTTAAATGGCTCATTATGTGTATTGAGTATAATATGTATTTATAGTTTTCTATCGCGCAGGTCTTTCGCAAAGTGATACATCTTATAGAAGAGAACGATCGCAGAATGGAGGCGATCGGTTTATCAAGGGACTATCGTTCGGTATACAACTATCAAATACGGTCTATATGCTGCTTCATTTTGATATTTGTATGCAGCCAATTGTACACGTGGCAACGATCACTGGCCCCATCACTGCCGCTTTACGTGAAAATCGTCAATTGCTTCAGCCTCCATATCGTCTCGATAATATGTCTAACCACGAACTTCACGTTCTGCTTTTGGATCAGGTAAAACCCTAAGCCAATGAGTCCTATTTATTTAACTAATTTATTTATTTAATTGATTTACTAACCGATCAAACGATGAACATAAATAATTGACTGATAAAGCGAAACTGTACAATTGGAAACAGGTACGTATGGTTGAAGTTTGATCAACTGAACCACTTGTTGATGAAAATGATCGAAGCCCTCGATCCACCGAAGCAGAAACGATTTCTCGAGACGACCGATGATCTCGAGGTTAAGAGATCCGAGGATAACGATGACGCTCTTCTGTTTGACACAGACACGGTCAAGAAGATCAAGTAAGAAAACTTGTTACGCGATCAAGCGACCTATTTTCCCAAGAATTTGTATTTGTTCATTGTTCGAACGTCTGACACTTATCACCCACTTCCACTTATTATGTTGTTTCACAAAGGAAATCTCATCTAGCGTTAATAAGGATCGCCAAGCAGATAAGCGCGTTCTATGGGGTACAAATTCTTCTGACGTCGACCATCATACTCGTTAGACTCGTCATCCTGTTCTACGTATGCAACAAAATGATGTGGTATCCGCCGCCTGATGATCAATTATTGCCCCAGATATTAGACCTGATGTTGTTTTCACTAATAAACTTGAGCATGGTTTACATGGTCCACCATATTTGCACGAAGACAAGCTATAAAGTGAGTTTCATATATTACACATCGATCTAATTGAAATTAACGAAGCAACAGATTCGAAAAAATTAATATCACTCTCCGAATAATTTCAATAAAATCTGTAAAAGAACTTACACGAGACACAGATGCAAATTATAATTACACGAGTTTGAATATTTATTTGAAACACCAATGCACTTTTAATATTGCACTCTGCGTTTAATTATAATTCGAGGAAACTTTGAATGTCATGCAGGCAGCAGAGACAGGCGATCTTCTCTGTCGCCTTTACAATTCGTCGACCACCATAGAATTTCGTGACGAGGTATTAAAGTTTAATTTCATTCAATTAATTCAATTAATTCAAATATAAAGAAACTGAGCTTCGTCTGAAACGATTCTTGTTACAGATACGAAGATTCACTACTCAGGTTCTGCAGAATCCGTTGTTGTTTTCGATATGTGGACTCGTCGATTTAGATGGATCGTTCATTTTAAATGTACGTCGATTGACACTCCGAATATCTAATTAAATTATCGATAACATTCCACTAAATTCGACTAACACTTTTTTCAGGCGCTGGGCAACATGTTTGGATACATGATCATGCTGATTCAAATGGAGACACAACGACTTAGAACGAGGATGCAAAAAAACTCCACTGAAGTGTGAATCTGAACATCGACGATCGAATAATGTTCCTTTTAGTATAGACACTGCAACTTAGAAACATCACTGTTACTCGTAACTACTTTGCACTGCAGTTTTCCATGCAATTATGCTGTCGAAACTTATTTCGCTATTAATAGTTTACAATTCCATACAGAAACTTTCTGCTCATTACACTTAAGTGCACATTTACTTTCGAGGTGACACTTTAGCTGAGATCCACGTGCAAGGAACGATATTGATTTAAATTCAATTAACCTGGACTTTCGCCATGAGCTTCACTTGATGTTATAGAAGAGAATGTAACTCCATATAGTATGAATTTTTACATATTATTGCACTTTTAGATTAAAGACACGACACTAGTAACAATAATACTCTTCCATTAAAACTTTCATGGAAACTCATTTTGAAAATTCCTATGGGACAGCAGCTCTGCTTTTCCCAGATATAAAAGTCATTCTTAGGAAAACGATAAAAACTTCGCAGATTATATTACACAACTAAATTGTGTACATTTTCATTATAACAAATGTCTATATATACCCCTTCCTCCACGAATCAGAGTACAAAACTCAGCACCGCGAAAAACTAGAAAAATCCCACAATAAAACAGAGCAACGGACAAAACCGAAAAGTGTCCAACACGAAAACACAAGATCTCCGAAACAATACAGACCGAGCCAACAACCAAAATACTTTTCCGTTTCGAGCCACGTACAACGAATAACGGCGACTCGCGAAACTAACCCAAGGATCTGCGCGACTCTCGCAATAAAACGGAGGAAAGGACGAAGGTATAAAAACCGTACAACATTAAAATACATCAAGATCCCGGCGACAATGCAGGTGGCCAAGAACAATGGCTCATTTTCTTGGCGATTATTCTCGGGCGGTTCCTCTCGAACCCTCGCCAAGAGAGGGATTCCAGGACGGCCGAACGGGATTGAAGAAGGAAAAAGGGGGAACGCGGAGGAGGAAGCAGAAAATCCGGAGAAGTTCATCTTCGCAGGCGGTGCCTGGTCGGAAGTTCCGCGTGAATGGCAGTCGTTGCTTACACCGAACCTCTTTCTCTCTATTTCAGGTTCGACTTAATTGATCGGGATTCCGTGAAAGGCCGGAGGTCAGTCCGATAGAGCCGCGCGGCGTGCTCCGAACGGAGGGAAGAATTAACGAACGCGATAAATAATATCGAACAATACCCGGCCGACCCAGTTCTCCGCGGAGAATGCCGCCGGTCCGGCTTGGGAATACGACGGACGGGTCGTCTTAGTGTGGACGTTACACACGGCCCGGCGAATAAAATGTTATGGGCTAGCCCGCGTCCCGAAACGACCCAGTTTTCACGAAGGAGAGTTTTATTGTCGGCGGAATGGTGGATCGCAGGCAACAAAACACTGGCCTCGAATCGACCGTGTGGGCGAGTCTATTTGCGAATGGAATTTCGAATGAGGGGACCTTCGCTGGGATTCATTAATGAGCTCGGAACTGTCGCGGGAATATTTTAACCCTTTGCGGACGGAGATTCTTCGAATGGCGCGACACGGGCGAACCTGAACTATCGATTGCTTAACCCTTCGCGCGACAGCGTTTCGTTGGAAATACTGAACACTGTTTAACACGGTTATGTATTGAATATAACTTAATATTTTATTTAAAAAGCGCCGAGTGCCATTGGAGTGCAGAGGGTTGATAGAAGAAATAATTCGAATAATTAATTATGGACTAGTTAAAATAGTCTAAGTTTCAAGCATCGACGATCTTATTCCCTTACAAGCTACAACATTAATTATAATAAATTCCCCTGTTTCACCACTAAACATTCTCCAAGACGTTCCGTTAACCTTTAAGTATCTCGGAGTGACAGACATACGGCTTAATCCACCGTGCACATTAACGGCAAGTAGTATATTTAGCGCAAACTGGTCAAATTGCGACAGATAACAACGTTGCAGCACGCTGTAGTGGGCGAGCGCCTTAATAAAGACGTAACACGGCCAGCAAATAGAATGTTACGGTCGTCATGGGTCCCTAAACGTGCCACTTTTCACCATGACAGTTATTACTGCTCGAACGGCGTCGGCGTTCTCGCGAGCAGTCCTCCTCGTCTTGCCCGGCGTTTGCATGAAGCGGAAACGAGACTCGGTATCTCATAAATACATCATTTTTCTTCTCGGCGTTCTCCGCGTCGCTCCCTTTCACTGGGCGCCTCTTTCTCCGTTTATCAATGCAGCCTGCCATTTCTGTTGATATCGCGTGCATTAATAATTACACGCGCCGCGAAGTGGCTCCGGGAGAACGAAGGGAACCGAGCGTTCCCTAAAAGTCGAGCTATGTCGGCGCTGATTGGATGAAACGCGAGCGGAAGAGAGGCAAAGATTTGATTCCCGAGTCAGGATTATTAGATGAAGCAATTGTTCCTCCTTCTACAAAAGGGTTCCTCCTGTTTTCCAGGATAAGAGGCTAATGCTTTCCTTTTAGCATTCGTTAGCTTCCATTTTTCATGGAAGAAAATGTTCGTCGCGCAACGAGATACACGGTTTCTTTGATTTCAAGTAGTAAGAACCTGACATGGTCAGACGCAGAGCGTCGCAGGATTCTCGAACGACGAAGCTCGCCAATGAATTTCATTCCGCATTCTCGATTCACTTCTGGCTTGTTGATTAATGTCATTCTCTGATTGCACTAGTAATTTCAATACATTGGCAGAATCAATCGATGGAATTACCAATTCATGCGCAACAGATAGACCGCGGATTGTTATGCAAATCACCGCCAGGTAATTCGAACATTACTTAAACTAATATCATTCCCGGAGCGATTACTTCGTTCCGAGGGCTAAGAATATTCACGGAACAGAAATGTCTCTGTTCCACTGAATAAACCACAAACTTACACGAACCAGATTCAAACAAAAGTTCCTTCCAAATATATACATTCTCGTAGTTTCCACAGAAGAATTCCGATACGTCGATCCAACTATAGTTTCAGTATTAAACATTTATTCGAAGTCTCGTTCGTCTATTCTACAAGCCCATCGTACTACATCCATTCCAGGAAAATATAAGGTTCCATTAGAATTCCAACAAAATACTCGAAGACACTGTGCAACCATGAAATCCGCGATCAACAGTGAAATAAATCTTGACCCGAGGAACCCACTAGATGTCCAGACCACGAGATCCTAGATGCCACGGTGATTGCTAGCGGCTAGAAAGGAAACACAAGCAGTTTCCAGCGCTGGCCCGTAATCTTCGTGCGGCCTTCGCCCTCCCACTCGGCCGGGAACACGAAGAAGAGAACAAAAGCGGCAGATAAACCGCGGGGAAGAATGGGAAATTACGAGGCGTGTGTATATGCATAAATAGTAGGTCATACGTAGGCCGCGCCGCGGGTCTCGCCGTTTTTCTTTCGACGATAAGGATCGCGGTCGATCTATCAACGCCGCGTTTAGGTCCCCGGGACGAGCCCGCGGAAACGATATTAATAGTCGTCCCAAATACCGGCGCAAGTGTTTATCGAGGAATTAACGGGTGCTCTCGGTTACCGAGAGCCGGGATTTTCGAGGCTTCGACGCTCGAATAAAGCCGGATTATCGATTCGATGCCCTTCGCTTGATAATTCCGACGCCACCGGCACTTTGTACGTCCTAGCTTTCTCCTTACTTTCTCCTTTTTCCTCGTAACACCCTTCGCGCGACAGGGATTGACCCTTTGCACCCGGAGTTCCACGGTTACTTTCCCGTAATTCTGTGTTGCTTGGACCGGTTAACCTATAATTCATTTTGTAATTGCGCTCGTGGTAATTAGGGATATTAATTATTTGCTAGGAACAAAGAATTTCGGATTCTTCTGTGTCTACTGTGAAGTGTAAGAATTGATGGCAGAAGGATAATATTTAATTTGAATTCAAAGTGAGTAATACTTGTATCGAATCCTATTTAACCCTTTGCAGTTTTTCGAAATGTAGGAAACCTTCAACAGACGAAGCTAAGTTATCTACCAATTGCACAATCAATAGGAAAAAAGAAACGTCGCGCTGGCCTCTTGTTTGAGTAATTCAATCATTCGTTTGCGATTTATTATTCTTAATATGAACATTTCTCGAAATGTCGACATTCGTCCGCAGAGGGTTAAAATATTCACGAGTCTGACACTCGATGTTCGATTCGCGTATCTCGCATAAGAACTCATCGATCGCCAATTCAATCGAACCACCACGAAACCGCATCAGCCGCAAGCACAATTCGAAAATCCCACGAAACAAAACCCCTCGCAAAACACCCTGCTCCATGAGTTATTCCCTCGAACACTCTAGCACTCCTATTATCGATTCCTCCTCCCCGGATGCGAGGAATAAACGGAAAGCGCAAGATGGCAAACGAAAAAAACACGTCGGAAGAAGAACAAAGAGACTCTCGTCAAACGGAGAAGCCCTCGAGTAACTATCCTAAATTTCCGGAACGAGCGTGGAACGGGTTTTCCGTTCGTGAAGCGGCGAGTGTGTCGGGGTCTAAAAAAGGACCGTAAAATTTATACAGCCGCCATAAGCATGGGGCCATGGAAAAACAGACGAGTGGAAGGGGGCAGTACGTTCGCCAACGATGGCCGTACCAGCCTCCCTTGTAAATCAAACTGGCGATAAAACTGGCCCGCGAGGGGAGGGCGGGCCGGCTCTCGGAGTTAAAAAATAACGCGTAAGTCGCTTCCGTTTTAATTATCTTCGGAATTAATCGGGCCGCGGCGCGGCTCGGCGCGGCTCGGCCGCACACGCGAGCGTATCTCTCTCGGAATACGCGGTGCCGCCTCTAATTACAAAACGGAAGCTGCATTCTGTCGGTAAGATCGTGCTTCCTGTAGCCGCAGTACCCTCGTTAGCCGTTTGCCACATGATATTGTTCCCCATACCGGGTTTCACGCACGCCGCGCGAACCGTACTGGGTGTACCGAATTGTTACGGACGGCGGCAGCTTCGTATCGGGTTGGAACATTCGTGCGGCGATC